CTCGTACTCGGAACGCCTATTGCCAAGTCCTGCTGTCCGCGCTGCTGGGCGCGGGCCTCGCGCAGCGTCACAATGAAAACTTCGACGAGCCGCCGGCAGTGCTGTGTAGCAGCCTCGACGTGGGAAGGGTCGACGTACTCGTCGTCTCGCAGCTCTGAGATCATACTGCTGAGCAGGTGCTGCGCCTGACCGAGCGGTGCCTCCGTCGGCTCCGGGGCCGGAGGTGGCTGGGGCATGTGCCAGCTGCTGCTCGAGATCGGCGACCTCCTCGGCGTACTGCACCGCCTCGGCGTCGGCAACCTGCTTGAGAGCCACGGCAGCATCGATAGCGGCCTGAGAGTCCACTTGGCGCCCCTGGGCCCTCGTCAGGGCGGCCCGGGCCTGGTCCAGACGCGCACCAACAGGCTTGCCGACAGCCAGGAGCTGCTTCTTCGCTGCGATGCGCTCGAGGATGGCCTCTTTGAGGGTCTCCTCGTCCTCAGGGATCTCCGTCACAGACCCTTCGAGCTTCTTGATCTGTGCCTGGGTCGCCTTGGTGTGGCGGGCGCCGCGGAGGGAGGCGCCTGCTGGACGACCTGCTGCTGTGCCCCCGCGAGCTCGGTCGTGATGGCTGTGAGCTGGTCCCTCGTGGATTGGCCAGCCTTGGGCGGTGGAGCAACCCCCCCAGTCTCCCCAGACTGTGGGCTGCGGCCGCCTTCGCGCTGCGCATTCCCAGGCACAGAGCGTGCCACGTCGCTGTACGTCCTCTTCACCCCGCACGTGGCGCAAGACTTCTTGGACGTGTTGGTGGCGTTGCATACCTTGCAGCTCCATTGCTTGTGCCCGTGGCCGGAGCCCCAGCCACAGCCGCTGGACCACGCCAGATGATGGCGGCCATGGCTGACCTGGCTGCTGCCATCCATGCGCCGCGTCCCCGCTGACAAGGTGGTTGGCGGCACCCTGTCCACTGCCAGCGCGCTCTGGGGCACTCCATGCCAGCATGGGTGCTGAGCTGGTGTCGAGTGAACTGAGGCATAAAGCCACACGCTGGTGCGGCGGGGCTGGATTGTATACTTACAGTCAACTCAAGGGCCACTCCCTAGTGGCAAGCCTTGAGCCAATATGGGTACGGATATATATATATATATATATATATATATATATATACACACGCATCACACATATCTATATATATAGAGAGAGAGAGAGAAGGAGAGAGAGAGAGAGAGAGAGATCTGTCTGTCTGCCTGTCCGTCTGTCTGTCTGTCTGTCTGTCTGTCTGGATGGATGAATGTGTGTATGTATGTATGAGAGAGCGTGATCCACCGCCGCTTTACTGTGGAAAATTGCCAACCTTTTCCTCCGGAGCCCGGGGGTCCCCCCCCCCCCCCTCCGAAAATCCCCCCCCCCCCCCCCTGCTGGAACCCCCCCCCCTCCCCCTCCCCCCTGGCAAAAACCCCCCCCCCCTCCCCTAACCCCTCCCCCCCCCCTCCCCCTCGAAAACCGGGAGGGGGTCACTACTGGTTCGAACCCCTCCCCCCCCCCCCCCCCCTCCGGATCCGGAAAACCGAAGGGGGTCACTACCGGTTGGAACCCCCCCCCCCCCCCCCCCCCCCCCCCCCCACTCACCGCCAGCAAACGACTCCCGGTCCCCACCACCGTCCGCATCACATCCCCCACTGGTGTTCCCAGCACCACTGTCCTCACCACCGCTGTCCCCACTGGTTCCACCACCGCCCCTACTGTCCCCACCAGTGGCCCCACCACTGTCGCACTGTCCCCGCTGTCCCCAGAACTGTTCCCACCACGGTTCCACTCTCCCCACTGTCTCCACGGCCCCAACCACTGCCCGACTATCCCCACTGTCCCCACTGTCCCACTGACTCCTCCGCTGTCCCACTGAGCTGTCCCACTGTTCCCACCACTGTCCCCACTGTCCCCACCACTGTCCCCACTGTACCTCTGTCCCATTGTCCCACCGCCGTCCTCGCCACCGCCTTCACCACTGTCCCCACCACCATTGTACCCTCCACTGTCCCACTGTTTCCACCTCATTCCCATTGTCCCCACACCACTGTCCCCACCACCACCGTCACCACCACTGTCCACTGTCCCCCCCTGTTCCCGCCATTGTCCCCACCACTGTCCCCACCACTACCGTCCCCACTACTGTCCCACTCCCCACTGTTCCCACCACTGTTCCCACCACGGTTCCACTCTCCCCACTGTCTCCGCGAACCCAACCACTGCCTATCCCCACTGTCCCCACTGTCCCACTGACTCCTCCGCTGTCCCACTGAGCTGTCCCACTGTTCCCACCACTGTCCCCACTGTCCCCACCACTGTCCCCACTGTACCTCTGTCCCATTTTCCCACCGCCGTCCTCGCCACCGCCTTTACCACTGTCCCCACCACCATTGTACCTTCCACTATCCCACTGTTTCCACCTCATTCCCACTGTCCTCACCACCACTGTCCCCACCACCACCGTCCCCACCACTGTCCACTGTCCCCCCTGTTCCCACCATTGTCCCCACCACTGCCGTCCCCCACTGTCCCACTGTCCCACTGTCCCCACCACTGTCCCGCTGTCCCCTCACCACTGTCCCCACCAACACCGTCCCCACCACTGTCCGCACCCCCACTCGGTTTTCGAGGGGGGGGGGGGGGGGGGTTCGAACCGGTAGTGACCCCCCCCCTTTTCATGATGAACTGGGGGGGGGGGGAGGGGTTCGAACCGGTAGTGACCCCCCCCGGTTTTCCGGAGGGGGGGGGGGGGGGAGGGGTTCGAACCGGTAGTGCCCCCCCCCGGTTTTCCGCCAGCAGCGGTAGAACACGCTCTGTCGTATGTATCCGCCGCCGTGCCTCTGGCACGAATTCGAGTGACCCAAGAAAGGCTCATGCAGCACTGTGAGGTAGACGCTGTGCTGCTTCCGCAGCGAGAGCTGTAAGTCTCTAGGGCACGGACCAGTCGTGTTCCAAGCCTTTAAAGGGATTCCGGGCTGGCTTCTGTGAGTTCTGTGGTGTTTCCTGCGCCTCGTGTGAACGCTGTGCCCCTCCAAAGAGATCTCCCGAACCCTCCCATGAGTCCAAGAGAGCCCCCTGTCGCCGAACGATCGCTCCAAGACGCCCAAGATGGTCTCAAGATGGCCCAAAAGGCCTCCAAGACGCCACACGAGGCTTCCAAGAGGCACACATCATCAATTTCCCGAAGGTTTTTGCAGGATGTTGGTGTTCTCTCCTTCTCGGCTTTCCGACGTTCGAAGACGGCCCAAAAGGCCCCCAAAACCACCCCAAGACGGCCCAAGAGGCCTCCAAGAGGGCCCCAAGACGGCCTTAGAGCACCCTAAGACGGTCCAAGCGGCGCCCAAGACAGCCAAAAGGGCCCCAAAACGGCCCCAAAAGGAGCCCAGGAGAGGGAACACGAACCGACACCCGAGGCTTCCGCCCCAAAAGGCTCCCAGGAGGCCCCAAGAGGTGCCCAAGAGGTGCCCAAGAGGCCCCAAGGGGCCCCCAAAAGGTCCCCAAGAGGCCCACAAAAGGCCCAAAGAGGTTCCCAAACGGCCCCCAAGAGGCTTCAAAACTACCTCCAGGCCCCCCACGAGATCCCAGCAAACATCCAATAGGCCTTATACCCACAACCCAGGCACGTTGGCGGGATGGGCCGAATGCCCTTCGATGCGCCGCCCCCTGTGCTTGCCACAAGGGTGCCTGGCGTGCTGAATCCTAAACGGTTTGAATGTGGTTCTTGTTCCAGAATCTTCCCCTGAGGCTTCGGCTCATTGCGCCGGCCACGATGCCCGGATAGCTGCCCAAATAGCCTCCAAGACGGCTACGATTGCTCAAGATGGCCTCGAAGACGGCCAAGATGGCCTCCACGTTCGCCCAAGATGGTCCAAGATAGCATCCAAGACGGCCCGAGAGGGTCAAGTCTGCCCAAGACAGCTTCAAGACTGCCCAAGTTGCCTCCAAGAGGTCCTCCAGGAGGGCCCGAGGATGCCCAAATCATTAATGTTCCTTAGGTTTTTGACTGATTTGGGCATTTGTTTCTTTTCGGCGTTCCGACGGCCCAAGACGGCCCAAGAGGCCCCCAAGATCTTCCCCAGAGCGCCCAAGAGGCCTCCGAGATGGCCCCAGGACGGGCCAAGATGCTCCCAAGACGGCCCAGAGGGGGGCCCAAGGAGGTCCAAGAGGTCTCCATGACTGCCAAGATGGCCTCCAGGACAGCCCTGAAGCACCCCAAGAGGGCCCCAAGACGGTCCAGAGAGGCCCCCAAGACGGCTCCCGACGGCGTCAGACGGCCAGGAACGTCCGAAGACAGCCAAAGAGGCCCCGAACAAGCCCCAAAGGCCCCCCAGAGGCCGAAGGAGACGCCCACGAGGCCTCCAAGAGGCTCCCAGGAAGCTCCCAGGAGACCCCAAGAGTGCCCCAAGAGGCTCCTCAGAGGTCTCCTCCTCCTCTTCCTTCTTTTCCTTCTCATCCTGTTCCTCCTATTCCTCCTTCTCCTCCTCCTCCTCCTCCTCCCTGTTTCTTCTTCTCCTCATTCTCCTCCTCCTCCTCCTCCTCCTCACGTGTTCCCCGAAGGGTTTCAGCGACGGCTGGGGGAACACATGGTCCGATAGCTTGGCCACGCTCTAGCCCAACTTTCGGCCACACAGGCGCCGCCAAAAAGGCGGGGGGCGGCAGTGATTCGCCGTAGGCGTCTTCGATCTATGTACATGTATAAGAAAGCTGGTGCCGGGGCCGCAGTCGGGTCAAGGCTTCGATATCAGGACCATAATAGCTCGGAGGTAAAGCCATAGCGTGGAGGGGTGGGAACGCGAAAAGAAATTGCAAGGCAATGACGTAAAGAATACGCTGGAAAACCTCGACATGTGGCCGGCTGATTACTACCTGCCAGGCCAACGGTGATCCTGGCTCGGGAGATCAGGCGAAAGGACAATCTTCCAGGAACGATAACCACACAATATGACCTCCCTCACTCCATCCGTCCCTCCTGGTATATTCGTAAACAAAGCTGCATCCTTCACAATGCTGATGGACACTCCGCGAAGGAACTCATACAAGATCTGCGCGCTGTTCCGGTGGAGGGCGTCCTGGAAAGCGCGTCCATGCAAATAGGCGAGAAACGTTAGCGGCATGGAAGATAAGGAGGTTTGGGTATAGACACCGAAGGACGCACCTCTACCAGAATTGACCTGGGTGCAGCGTAAACACAAAACACATTCGATGCGAGCCCTACTCTGAGCTAGCGAACCCCACTAGGCATTTGGGCGCAGGTGGATTAGAGGCCGAGCTCTTCCAAAACACCCCTTTCTTCATCTTCGGGAGGGGTTTTCCCCATCCCCTCCCCCACGCCGCACCACCCTTCTTGTCTGTACTGGCAATGACTGGTAATATGGCGTGGCGGCCGCCAGTGGCCAAACGCAGAACGAAGGACGAGCCACGAAGTAAAAATCCTTGCTGGGCCGAGCCTTGGATGTGAGGACTGGGTCGGTCTCTTGAAACCCATTTTAAGAAACTTCTTTGGGGTTCTCTTGGCGCCCTGTTCGGGCCTTGCCAGGACATGGTTGTGGCCTCTTGGAGTCTTTGGGGCCCTCTCGGTGCCATTCAAGGGGAAGTGGATGTGAGCAACCTGCAGTGTAAACTATGTGGTGGCAACTATGTCGTGTAAGCTGTGATGTTTGAGCTATCGGGGTCAAGCCTATACGGTGTGAGTTATGCGGGTGCCACCTGTTGCGAAAACTATATGGTGACAGCCATGTGGCGTGCGTTGTGAGCTATACAAATGGATGCCATGCTGTGTCAACTATGTTGTGCAAGCAATCTCTTGTAAGCCGTGGGTGAGTTGACAACTATGTGGTGCAAGGTATATACGGTCTGTGGTGTGAGCTATGTCGTGAACGCTGAGCGGCGTCAGCTGCTTGTGTAAGCAATGCTGCGTAAGCTATGCTATGCGGTGCAGGCCGTGCGGTTGTATCAGCCCTGCGGTAGGCTATGTCGTGTAAGCGACGGAGCGCCCACGAGGCGCCAAAGAGGCCGCACTGGCGCCAGCGTGACGAAGTCTCAAAATATACCCCCCCCCAAACGCGGGGCGCCCACACAGCGCACACGAAGCGGCACCGGTGGCAACGTGGCGAACACCCATCATACAGTACCATCCAAACGCGGGGCGCCCACGACGCGCCCACGAGGCGGCACGGGCCCGCAATGTGGCGAAACCTCCCCATACCCTTTGGGTAAGGCAAGTAAGAACCCCCACATGCAAGCACTGTTTTGGGAGTCAGAATCCTCGTTGTCTGGGCGTTTGGTTTTAGGGTTTCGACGGGCCCCGTGGGGGCTCTTTGGGGTGCTCTTGGGGGTTCTTGGGGCGTTCTCGGAAATCTGCTGGGCCTCCCTTGGGACCCTGCCGGGGCTATCTGCAAGCATGGGGGCCGATCGAAAGCCGGGACGGAGATCATCCCATTATTCTTGAACTAGTATTCCCAACCATCCTGTGGTGTTGGGTCCTCGTTTTGAATAGACAGCGCCCCGCGTCTCCTCTCCTTCGTCCTCCCCCTCCTCCCTCCTCCCATCCCTGCCTTTGCACTCCGCAGCAGTCAACCATTTCGGCACACCCATCACGAGGATCGTGGCCCCTTAGGGAACCCCACCGAAAGCCGCAGTGGCTGCGTCCACATGCGTCCACGGAGCCCGTTGCGGTACACCCCTCACGAAGGTCGTGGCCCCATAGGGAGCACCACCGAAGGCCCCAGTGGTTGCGTCCACATGCGTCCACGGCGCCCATTTCGGCACACACCCCAGGAGGGTCGCGGCCGCACAGGGAGCCCCACCGAAGGCCCCTGTGGCTACGTCTACATGCTTCTCAGGCGCCCATCTCGGCCCTCACGAGCTTCGTGACCTCATGGGGAGCCCCACCGAAGGCCCCCGTGGCTGCGTCCACATGCGTCCCAGGCGCCCATTTCGGCACGCCCCTGCCAAGGATCGTGGCCCCGTAGGGGGCCCCATCGAAGGCCCCAGTGGCTGCGTCCACATGCGTCCCATGCGCCCATTTCGGCACATTTTCGAAGATCGTGGCCCCATAGTGTGCCCCACCGAAGGCCCCAGTGGCTGCGTCCACATGCGTCCAAGGCGCCCATGTCGGCACACCCCTCACGAGGATCGTGGCCCCATGGGGAGCCCCACATAAGGCCCCAGTGGCTGCGTCCACATGAGTACCAGGCGCCCAATGCGGCACACCCTTCAAGGGGATGCCGGAAGGATGGTGGCACACATAAGGAGCCCCACCAAGGATGGTGGCACGCGCCTACCAAGGATGATGGCCACATAAAGAGCCCCACCGAAGGCCCCCGTGGCTATATACGTCCACGTGCGTCTCAGGCGCCCATGTTGGCACACCCCTCGCACGGATCGCGGCCGCATAGGGAGCACCACCGACGGCTCCAGTGGCTGCGTCCACATGCGTCCACGGCGCCCATGTCGGTACACCCCTCACGAGGATCGCGGCCGCATAGGGAGCACCACCGAAGGCCCCAGTGGTTGCGTCCACATGCGTCCCATGCGCCCATTGCGGCACAGTCACGAAGATCGTGGCCCCATAGGGAACCCCACCGAAGGCCCCAATGGCTGCGTCCACATGCGCCCCAGGCGCCCGTTGCGACACACCCCTCATGAGGACCGTGGCCACATGGGGAGCCCCACCGAAGGCCCCACTGGCTGCGCCCACATGCGTCTCAGGCGCCCAATGCGGCACACACACTCTACGAGGACCGTGCCCCATGGGGAGCCCCACCGAAGGCCCCAGTGGCTACGTCCACATGCGCCCAAGGCGCCCATTTCGGCACACCACTCACTAGGATTGTGACCCTTAGGGGGCCCACCGAAGGTCTCAATGGCTGCGTCCACATGCGTCCCAGGCGCCGGTTTCGGCACGCCCCTACCAAGGATGGTGGCCACATAGGGGGCCCCACCGAAGGCCCCAGTGGCTGCGTCCACATGCGTCCCAGGCGTCCATTTCGGCACACCCCTCATGAACATCGTGACCTCATGGGGGGCCCCACCGAAGGCCCCAGTGGCTGCGTCCACATGCGTCCAAGGCGCCAATTTCGGCACACCCCTCACGAGGGTCGTGGCCCCATAGGGAGCCCCGCCGAAGGCCCCAGTGGCTACGTCCACATGCGTCCCAGGACGACTTTCTAAGGACGCTTGCTTTCGGGAAAGGGGCTTCGGGGGTGGGCGCGCGGAACGCCCCAGCTCCTCGTCGGTCGACTGCTGGATCCGCTCGAACGGCTCGCAGGCGCAGGCGCCGTGGCAACTCCGCGGTCGGGGCGTTCGCCGTCCCCGCGTAGCCGATGGCACAACAGTATTTCGGGGGGCGCGCACCCCTACACCAGGGTCGCAGAGGGGGGTCCGAAGGGGAAACTCTTACAACTTGCAACGCAACCTTCGGGAGGCACCCGGGTCACGGTGCAACGCGCCGGGGCCTTGGGGAGCCATCCGGCTAATAAGAGTGTCTCCGCCCAGCGCGCAACGTGCGTCGGGTGCGCACCCGGCACTCTGGCCAGGCCCCCCAAATCGGGGCCCGACCGGCCGGGCTCCCGGCATCTGGTTGGCCTCGAAGTGGTTCTGAACATCCCGGCGGTCACAGACACGACTGCCGACCAACGGGCGTTCCAAGCAAGAGCATTTGCCACAGTGAATTCCTGCATCCGCGCGGCGTGGGAAGAGTCCACGCGCGCGCAACGATGCTGCGCCTCGCTCTGTGGCCAACCACGCAGAGTCGGCATCTGGTCTGTCATTGCTGCCGTGTGATTCAGACACAAAGCTGATGTGTCTATTCGCTTCCTTGGACGGCGAACCGTGGGGCACAAGCTCCACGGCCCGTGCAGCAGTGCGAGCATGGCACGAAGAACGGGGCCTTGTAGACTCTTTTGATTCCGCGTGGACCGGCCGGGCCGCACGTTTTTGGATGGCCCTCAAAAAACGAGCAGACCACAATTTTTCACGGGCCAAAGAGCCGCTGTCTTTAACACAGCTCCTGCACTGCGTGCGGGCGCGCCGCGGTGTCAACTCCCCCGCGGGCGTCCGGGACGCAGCTGCTGCGGCATTTTGCTTCTTCGGCGTGCGACGGTCCGCCGAGATGCGTTTCCTGGCGGCGGAGGATCTTGCGATCGAGACCACGCACGCCGTAGCATTCATCAGAAACAAAAGAATGGTCCACCAGGAGCAGGGATGCGTTGCATCATTCCATGCTTTCCGTACCTCGGAGGCTCTTGTCCCGTGCAACTTTTGCCGGGCTGGGTCGCCGCCCGCGCGAGGCTGTGGCCGGATCGCGCCAATGGCCCGTTGTTTTCCGTCACGCACAAGGCAGTGCCATCGGCTATTTCCGTCGACACAACGCGCACGTCCTTGTCATCAGTGTTTCCAGGGTGCTCAACGGGCACCCACTCGCTGCGAAAAGGCGGGACCCTTTGGTGGAAAGCAGATGCCCAGGTCCCACACGAGATAATTCAAGCTCAGGCGGGTGGTCGAGCCCCGAGACCATGCGCTCTGTATACACCCGTTTCAACGAGCAGGAACGTCTCCGAATGTTTGCACAAGCAGCTGCGTCCATCAAACGGGACACCACCCAAGCCTGCAAGCCTCCCGGCTGCGCGCTGGCCCTGTCATCCGAGCAGGGCCAGTCGGCGCCCGGGCCCATGCCTCAATGGAGACGCCTCGCTCACTCATTGTGAGCGCCACTTGCCTCACTGGGGGTTGGCGGGGCTGCAAAACGGCGCCCCGCCAGCAGGTCTGCAATTCCCCCTGGCGCTCCCTTTGCGGCATGGTTTTGCCGAACCCCTACGGAAAAACAGAGGCGTCATCCCTGCCATCACCATGCTCTCGCTACTCCCTGCTCCAGGCTATTTCTCCCCTCTTGCGTCGTCGTGGCCTCTCCCGCTTCTGCCTCATCCTCGCCTTTCCCTCCCTTTCTCCTCGGGGCGGGACACGGGAGGGGTGGCCGGGCAGGACAGGTAGGGCGCCCCTTGCCCGAAGACGACTTTCTAAGGACGCTTGCTTTCGGGAAAGGGGCTTCGGGGGTGGGCGCACGGAACAC